CTTAAACAAAAAACCCCTCCCAATCTCTCAAACATGTTCTTGAAAATCCCTGGGAAAAAAACATTTAGATATTTTCTGTTTTTTGCCTTGGAAAACTTTTTTTTCTGATAAATTAGATTAAAAACAAGGGTGCACATTATACACGGGTGTGCATTATACATTGAAAAATACGGTAAATACTTTGTGATTGAATAGTTTTACCTTCTCTTGCATGGACACAAAATTGTGTATTGGTGCAGGAAATACCCAAAGACTCCAATAAGAAGCAGGCACAGAATTGTTCCAATAACCACAATAGCTGCAAGAATTGCCTGTGAATGATTTAAAAAGACTGTTTAAATACTTTGATCAGTAATTAGAACCTAGAACTTAAATCAAAAGGAAATTTTTTTTTTTAAATGTAAGCTGGTAACTCTTGCAATCAATGTAACCACTGAAGAACTTTTAAAAACAAAAATTTACAATAAACCGCACTCTCTTTCAAACTGGAAACATGCCAAAGCATGACCGCAAGGAGGAATACATAAATCATGCAGTCTTCATTGAAATGTGCAATCCAGAAACCACACAATTTTTTCTCCATTTTTAAAAAGTAACTTCACACCAGTACACAAGAATTAACTTTTAACCATGAACAGTTTACGACTCCAAAGAGTCTATAGCCAAGAATAATTAAAACATTCTCTTCAAATGAACTAGAACTCAGCTATGGACACTTCCATTTTGAAGGCATGCAATGCAGTAACCTGGATGCACTTGTAATCACAAAAAACACAACATGTGGTTTACAAATTGCTTCTGCTACCTTGCCATAAAAAATATCATGAAGTGAGTCTATAATTCTCAAGAGATGGAAAGAAAGGAAAGACACTTTGATGTGCCATGCAGATAACTGGTCAGGTTGCAAACATTAAGGCAAGGTTCAAAATTTTTCAAAAGTATATTAAGGTACTCTCTCAAATCTCAAAAGCGAGTTTGATTATTTCTACTCAAATTAATTAATAATTCATGAGGACAACAGCCAATAAATAAGGCATACTTGGGTCACATGCGTGAACCTTGATATCCATTATGAACACTCAGATGAAAATCTTAAAGTTTTGATCTGGGTTGAAACATGGTTTTGATCTCAGATCAAACACTTGCATTTTAATGAGCATTTTCAATTATAAAAAATAAATTCGAAAAATGACCTATTAAATATTATTTCATGAATGGTCTTTGGTGGATTTCTCTCCCCCAACATCTTGGCCACCTCCATCACAAACTTATTAAGCTAGCTATTCAAGGTCAATGCATCTATTTTGTCAGTGCTGGTAGAAAGCTGTGCGACCTTGAGTAAATCATAGTCTTTAAAGAGTGCTTCTGGATAGAAACAGGAGCTATAACCGACTAAGAAATTTGCCATTTGTCAAAAATTGTTACTGCCCTGATTTGTTCTTACATTTGGTACACGAAGGTAATAGCTTTTCAACTAATACACATTCTCTGTAAACTGTTTTTGGCTCCCTAAATCTTGCTGTTCCATCTTCACTTGTGGTCACACACCCACTACACCAAAACAATCAACCATGCATGAAAGTTGATGCAATGTTAAGGAAAATGGCAAAATTGCAATGTTACATAAATCATTTAGGGAGGACAATGGAAAAAATGTATCACTACATATTTTTTTATTGTTTCATTTGCAAAGTCATCAAAAAAACTTGTGCTTTGTGTTTCATCAGGAGTTCCAACACCTTGAAACAATAAAACAGGGATTCTGGCATTATGCGCGAAAAAAAATCAAAATTAAAACCTAAAATATAACTAATTTCACACAGAAAACTCAGTTATTGTTTCTTTTTATAAAACAATGGAATATTATGCACTATTAATAAATGACTCCTTCCAATAAAAGCAATAATATGGCCAAAACAGAAAGCAACTCTTGTAAACATCCATCATCTTGGAAACCGCCAAACGCTGGAACCTGGGCCAAGCTTCATATCGGTTCCAGGCCCTCATCTGACATTTTTATTAATGCCTTGTCGTTTTTATAAAAACAAAATGGCTTCGTATCCATGTGGTTGTTTTGTTAAATTAAAACTATACTTTGGTATTTTGTAGGACTGTAGAAAAAGGATAAATACAATAATCAAGCCAGACACCAAGATAGGTAACATATATATTGATTTATTTGACAAATTATGTGGGATTATGCAGAGAATGGCCGATTAAGCGGGTCCACACCAGCGAATAATGCCAGAATCCTTGATAAAAGCACTTGGCCACATCTGTTTCTCTGCAGTGTTTAGAACCCCTGATGAAACGCTTGCACTCATTTATGACATATTACATGAATGCAGGTAATAAAAATTATAATGGTTTCTGAGGTGAACTTCTACTTTAAGAAACAGTGATAATTAAATGGTCTTATGGACAGCAATGGACCCCCAGTGTCTTTGATCCCTACCTAAATCAAAACAACTGACTTTTCTTCATTGTTGCGCACAAATTCAAACTATAGCCTTGAGATTGGGGAATGCCATTTTCGCAGGAAATGCTTAGTTGTTTTGTAATAGCATGTAAAACATAAAATATTGATTCACTTACTGGATCAGGTGGATCAGGCTGAACAGGTGTAGTGGTGGTGGTGATGGTTGGTTTACATGTGGCAGTGCTTGGTGCTCCTGTAGTGGTTGAAGACTTGGTTGTTGGCACGCTTCTTTTGGTCGTTGATGGTGAAGGACTTAAGCAAGCAAATGGAACTAAAAGACAAATTATACCAAAGATATCACAGGAGACTGTGTGCTTTGAAAAAGCATTGTAGGATTGCAAAGAGTGTCGAGTTTTCCTCAGGCAGTTTGATTCCCCCATTACCAACACCGATATGGGGGGCAGGAGGGGAAGGGGGAATGACTTTTACCAGTTGTTAAAAGGATTGTTGCATTCCAGTTAAAAGGAGTTAAAAAGCGTAATATAATTATCTGGTGGTTTCTAAAAGGAGTTAATAAGCATAATATAATTATCTGGTGGTTTAAGCATGCTAGTCAAATTTATTTGACAAGAAAGATATTCTTAACTAATGCTTACCTTGGACTTCTCCTTTCACTTTAAAAAGCAAACAGAAGTCTTCTGTTGCATTACTGAAACGTCTAGTACAATTCAATCTCAGCTTCATTATATAGCCTTTGAACATAGTCAAGTTAGGTGACTGTTGAGAAACCTGACATCGAAGAGATAATAACATCATTTATTACACGACTCGGGCAGTCAGAGGGCCAATAACTAAAATCAACCAATCAAAATGCTCTATTGCCGGTCCAATATTCCCTAAGTATTGGACCGGGCACTGTCCAATACTTAGAAAATGGTCCCGAATGATACCGCACTTGTTTCCCTTTGAACTTCAGTCGTATAATAAATCTCTTATTAACCAAGCTTGCTCGGGACCGTACTGGAAGAATATCGGCCCTCGGTCTTTTTTGTACGGACCTCGCTGCG